ATATGGGATTTATTTTGCAATGAGTTTTGAAAGCGATAACTGTTTTTAGTTTCAGAGCCCAAAAGTTGACATAAAAACAGGGCTTTTCTCTCTCTCTCTATCTCTCTCGTAATACTGAAAACTTTGTTTTGTGAACCAATTGTATCAGAAAACCGGTGAAAAGTGTTGAACAGAAATCGGTTTATTCGCCGAAGAGGTCGTCGAAGTGTCTGTTCGGTACTCCAGACCCGCAGACCAATTGCGGTGCGGATATCGTGGCCTCCATTGCCACCAATGAATACCAGAAATTGGCTCAAAGACTGTGGAGAAACTATTTGTTGCGAAACTCACTCAATCATTACATATACTAATCATTACTAACTAATGGATGTATTTCTTGTGAATATTGACAATACTTTTGCCAAAATATATTTCAATTTATATTTTAATGTATGATATTTTTTATTACTAATAAAACATTTAATGCAATATTGTTTGTATCGTTTATTGCAATAATTTTTTACACATTTATTAAATACACTGATTGTATGTTTAAATTCTAAACTTTAAAACAATTTATTAAATTTGATTATTGATTATTACTACACTGTATAATTAGTTAGAATTTCACTTTCGATTAAGGTTTCACTTGATACGTCAATGGTAGAACATGGTAAAAATAAATTACCTTTAATGGAAAAAATCATAATTAGTTTTACAATTAGTTGTAAATAACGAAAGGTTCTGACGTTTACTTTGGAAATATTGTTATACACTTTTAATTTACGATACAATGATTTCTACTGTATTTGAATGGATCAATAGTTATGAATTATAAAATATCTAAAATAAGATATTAATGAAAAATACCATATTATTTTCATTAAATAAGTTATATAAATATACTTAAAACTTCAATTTAAACAATAATTCAAATAATAATTTTTACTTTTACTTATATTTAAATAATGCACATTTATTTGACTTTTATTTTAGGATTCCGAAAAACTATTGATACATAGAGTGATTATATTCTAATATAATACCACATTATCTAAAAGTGTTTATAATGTCTAATAACTTGTTTATTGAGACAAAAAACAACTATCTCATCAAACCCATCACTAATTATAAAAATCCCTTTCGGGTCCAGTGGCGGGACCTGACCTACACTGCGATCCAACACTCGGGCACTGAAAAAGTAATCCTCAACGAAGTGAACGGCCATTTCATGAGCGGTCAGATCACAGGTATTATGGGTCCGTCCGGTTGCGGCAAATCTACATTATTGGGTTGTATTGCCGGCATTAAAACCAAGGGCCTTTCCGGATCTATTACTATTTCCACCGATATCAGGGTCTGTTATATTAAATACATTAATATAAACTAATTTATTAATTAACACATGAGTTATAAACTTAAAATAAAATTTACATTTAATTAATGGAATTAAATAAAAATAATTTATGTCAAAAATTTAGGTAAAGTTTGCGTTTATAGTGCAGGAAAACTATGTCCTCCAGAGGCTGACAGTGAGAGAGTCGCTGATGTTTGCATCGAAGCTGAAGAACGATCCGGTGTGCGATCACACGGGGATTGTGGCCGACGTTATAGCGAAACTAAACATCGAGAGCTGTGCCGACAACCGGCCCGACAGGTGTTCGGGCGGACAATTGAAACGAGTGCTCATTGCTCTGGAACTGGTGTCCAGACCTAACATCTTGATACTGGACGAGCCCACCACTGGCCTCGATTCAGTCACTACATGGCAATTGATTACGACACTCATTGAGCTGACCCAACAGCCGGAACCGGTGGCCGTTGTGCTGACCATACATCAGCCATCGGCGCGACTCTTCAATCTGTTTGACACAATATATCTGCTCTCAGCCGACGGTCAGTGCATTTACAACGGATCGCCCGAAAGGATGAGATATACGTTCAGTGATTGCGGACTCATTTGTCCCACATTTACCAATCCCTCGGACTTTGGTCTGGAGGTGGCGTCCAAAGAGCACGGCGTCGACCGACTCGTCACTCTCGCGGCGATTGTCACCAACGAAGCCAAACAAATGCCCACAAATAAGTACCGGATCCGTATTGAACGCGAGTTTGACACAAAGAGGTGTGTCTACTATTTGACCATAAGGTAAATATTTATAAATATTTATTTTTGATTAAATGTTTAAATTTTTTAAAACATTTTTGCTTTAAATTTTATATCTTGTTTTGATCACCAAAACAGATCCTTCCTCTCTATGATTAGGGACCCGTTTATGCTTCCGATGCGATTCTTTGGCTATATTTCGGTTGCTTTTCTGATTAGTCTATTGTTTGGTAGGGATAGCGGAGTGCTGTCCGGCTGTCCTCAAGAGCTCAACTTCAGAGATAACGGGAATATCATTGAATACATCAGATCCCGATCGGCAGATCTGTTTGAAAACTGCTGCGGACTGTCCTTTATCTGTCTGTTTGGGTGGATTGGAGGCATATTTCCCGTACTATCGATATTTCCAATCGAGCTGAATGTTTACCTTCAGGTTTTATTACAAAATTTATTTTTGTTTTTTAAACAACAAAATTGATTTTTCAATAGGAATACAGAAACGGATATTATTCTTGTTTCTCATTCTTTGCATCCAAAGTGTTAAGTGATATCCCATTCACACTATTGTTACCACATTTGGTCTCAATTCCCGTATATCTATGGACCGGACAATACATGGCCAACATTTGGCGTCTCTATAACTTTATGTTTATATTTATGTTAATCACATTCAACTCGAGCGCACTCGGCCTTCTTATCGGTGCCTCCCTATCCAACCACCCTGGTGCTATCGCATTTTTTGGTATGCTTTCGTTTGTGCCTATAACACTACTATCAGGTATTTTTAATTATTAAATAGTTTAAAATATATAACCACTTCAGGGAATTAAAACTATAACTTATTTTCATTAATCAATTATATTGTTTTTAATCAGGAATATTGATAAAACTGAATGCAATGCCGTTTGCATTCCAAGCGCTATCGTATCTGAATTACTATAGGTTTGGTTTGGAAGCCGTTCTCATCAATAGCTACGGCTTTAATCGATGCGAAGCGGAGGTCGTGTCGGCCAACCATACCATCAACATTATGGCGGAGATCCCGGCCGACAAACTAATGGCCATTTATAAGTCCGACAAAATAGACTCCGCATTGCTATTGAAATCAATGAATTCATTGCTTTCTAACGACAAAGACGGCGAAAAAACCTCTATAATTATGAATAACTATAATTTAGTTGATTTCGATTACTTTATTGCTATATTCATGCTTTTCCTACACATTATTTTGTATCGATTGCTCACTTATTATGTGATACTTAAGAAAGTGACGCCAAACACATCCAAATGAATACCTGTATATAATTTATGTTTTTACTTGTTTTAGCCTAAAAGTCATTGTGTAATGTTTTTAATGTGATTTACCTATTGTTTGCATTTAATGCTATAGTTTTATAAGTCAAATGAAATTTTCTTTTATTGGTTTCTGTAATTGCGGCAAATTTTTTAAATTCATAGCTTTGAGTGCACTCTTCATAACACATAGATTTGATGTAATTGTTTATGATTTGAGTTTTATTGCAAATCGACAGAAAGTGATAAATTGTTTGATAAATTGATCCATTGATTTGAGACAATGTATGGATGGGTTGACACAGACAAACATCAGGGTATATACAATGATTTAGGTAACAATTTAGTTGACAAATTTCTCCTGAAATATGAATTAAATTTGTGTAAAATTAATAATTATTTGTTTTTTCATTAAATCTAATCAATGAATCCAAAATCAAATCAAATAAAACATAATTATAGCATAAAATTTATTGTTTTATTTCATAACATATTTTATTTATACATTTCATTTAATAGAGATTTTATTTGTATTATTATAACATTTCATATAATATTTAATTAATTGGATATATATTTAATATAAGGTTTTATTTCATTTGTATCAACACTTCATAAATCAAATTATAAAATAGTTGTATATTTCATTAAAATGTGTGAAAAATATGACAAAAAAAAATTAAACACGTTTTAGACTCAAAACTTTTCGGACAATTAATTTAATCATTAAATGAACGCAAAATAAAACATTTGAGAGACTATTAAATCGAAAACAAAATAAATAATTAATAATTGTATGAAAAAATGGACTAAAATCTCTTCGAATGGTTAGACAAACACTTTATATTGCAATTTTGTATTGACTGAACGCCACAAACGAGTGCTTATCAAATGTCGAGTACAGTGTATTTACTTGAGTTTTGAGTCTAAAACACGGCTTAATTTTCATAAATTAAATCGTTATTTAATATCAATATATAATTTGTGAGCAAATATATTAACAATCAATTGGTTTCGAGAGAGACTGACCTAAAGCCAAACAACTAGATCGTGGCGCCAAAAGAGAGGGAAGGCCGCGTTGACCTGTTCCAGGGTGTGTTGTCTGCATTCACGCAGGAACTTACGCACCTCACTTTCGTGAAACACCGCGTTGGCCGGAACATCAGCTTCAGCCAGAGTATCCTCGTCCACCTGCAATTCAAAGTATTTTGTCATGTTTTTGGACTCCGACTGGTATTTGACGGGTGTTTATAATAAACGCAAACAATTGCCACTAATTATAGCGAGAATTGTGTTATTATTAGTGGGCGTCAGATATGGGGTCTCAGCGGTGGTCAACACACGGGAAATAAGGGTTTTATTGTCGGATTACAACTATATGTTAGGAAATCCGCGTCTAATCTCAACAATAATGAGTATCTAAGCATTTGTTATACTATTCATTGGCATTACATTACAATACATTGAATTCATTAATAAATTATATGTCTATAATCTGTTCAATGATCTCAAATATAATACATTTGAATTGCCATTGAATGCAAAACACAAAATTGCTTTTGTGGTTAAATTTATTGATAAAATGCTATTTGTATCAAACGTTTTGGTTTCTTATGATTATAACAAATGGTATTACTCTTTGGGCAACAATTATAGCTTATTTCGATCTCAACTATGGTTTCACTTACTGTTATTTGCTGTCTAATAAAAGTGGTGATCTTGTTCTCGGCGGTTGGCTGCGCCAGACCTATCAAAGCACGTCCTAACGCCAGTGTTTCCTTCCGGCTTATTATCAACAGCTTGTCCGCCATTACCGCCGCCACAATGATTACCCCAATGGTTAGCACAACAATAATAACAATAATCATAACAATTACGTACAGCCAAGTGGTCGACTGAACGGTGGGTGCGTTGGAGTCGCCGCCGCCGGTCGCATGGGATACACCACTACCTGTCACACCGTTTCTCACACCACCACCACTGGGACCACCGGTACTGATCGACCGCTGATTGGATGTGCCGTCAAAACAGTGGTCATATTTGAATGGTTTGAGTTTAGCGGCGGAGCACTCTTGAGATGGTTTACTACCGGTGGGAACGACACAAGTCATGAGCCGATGCGTGACGTTCAGCAAAACAATGTGACCCCAAATAGAACTGTTTCTCCCATCCCTATAGTCGCTAATACTGAGCACTTGTGCCCACTGTTGGTCACTAAAGTCGGCGACGAATCTCTTGGCGGCGCCCGTATAGTCCCTATTGGCTCCGGGAGGCGACCAGTCTTTGCCAAACTTCAGTAGCGATACGTTTGTGCGGTCGGCGCGCGAGACGACGGCTACAAAGGCGTACTGAGCGGTCGGTACGGACTTGAAGGCGATGTCGTCGGCACCGATGGGTCCGCGGCTTATAGTATGTTGATTTTGATCCGAGCACTGGTATTGAGTGGTTGCGTTGGCCCACACCTGACAGTTATAATAAGTGAACATAAATGAGGTTGAGTTGCGTCCGGTGTCGGCGCCCATAGAGAACTCGTTGATGAGTGCGTTGGGCAAAGGGTTGGCGTATATTTGCAACGGAGAGTGCTTAAGTCGACCGGCATTCACTACCACTTCCATTTTGCCCAATCGACCCGTGATATACGTGTACCGCATGAGGTCTAGAGGTCTGTTGTAGTGCTCCAAATGTTAGCTAAAACTCATTCCTGTACCGTACTGTCCTGTAAACATCTTTTCCTGTCCCGTCCCAATCCTGTACTAAATGTTGAAATATTTTCCTGTCCCGTCCTGTCCTGTCCTGTATTTTCCTGTAATTTCCTGTAAATCCTGTCGGCATA